CAGCTCAGGGTCCAGTTTCAAAGCTTTCTGACATACATAGATTTGAATGTTAAGCCATACTAGCCCTTCCTTTCAACCTATATAATATTTTCAAAGCAATAATATATTATAAAATATTACTAGTATGTATTATTGTGAGTTTCTAATATTTTTGTTTGTTTGTTTTTTGACTTTTTGCATTCATTCACAAACTTCAGTGCTGTTGGCTAAAAAGTTCTGCATAAATTTTGATAATATGCTGGTAATACTTCTTCAACTGTGTTTGTCTTCAAGTAGTGCTTAGCTGGTTCAGATATTTGTGTATATATATATATATATATATAAAATCTAGATTTCTGTATAAGGGGAAATCTGGTGGAATACTGTTAAATAATAATTACTGAAATTTTGAAAGGAAAAAGTTACTCATTAATAGTCTCTTTTACTTCCATGTGTACCTATATTTATTTGGATTAATGCCAATTATATTACCATGGCAGAAGTAAGGTGTTGGGTTTTCTTTGTTGGTCTCCCCACCTAAAAGAAGTAATTTTCTTAACTGAAGAGCTTATATATTTGTCAGCATCAAACTCTAAGCTTTTACTTCACACTATTTTTTTTGTGCTTACAAAATAAATTTTAAAGAAAGCATTTAAAGGAAAAGACAGGGTTATTCTAAGGTGGAAATAAGGTCTAAATATTGGCACAATAAGTAATATAATGACAAAAGTGGGTTCAAGGGTGCATAGAAGTACCTTTTGACTATCCAACTCTGGTATTTGTGACAGCTGGCATAAAAAATGAAGTGCCATTTGTCTGATTGCTTTCCTTTAGCATGTCTCCGCAATTTAGAATGGAAAAACTTGACTTGGAAAAAAAAACATGACAATGCAAATAAATTTGGTGAGTTGCATATTTAAATTTATTTTTTAAATATGTGCATTTTGTTTTCCTTCATCTATTCTGCGTACCAAAAATAAACCTGGGTAAGCATAAGTTAGTGGCACTATTTGACCTGGAAAACAAATGTATAGGGAGGAATAAGCAGCTCCGTTGTAGCATGGAGAAGAAAGCTTTGTCTGCAATATGGAGGCAGTATAGTGCCTGTTCTGTGCTTTCTATCAGTAAAGAGCTCTTTATAATAAAAAAGTACAGGAAAAGAACTGTGCTGTGAAATTTTGTGGTTTTGGTGCTTGTGTGTGTGTATGTCCCCAAAAATAATGACGTCTCAAAATAAATGCTTAAAATAAATGCTTAATAAATACTTAAATAATGATAGATTTCTATTACAGAGTAATAATGCCAAAACAGATGCCAGCTTGGTGGAACTATGTGGTGAAAAATGGTCCTTTTAACTGATCATGTTAACAGCCTCACATCTTGACAGGGACATAAGCCTAATGACCAAAAGATCATTATGGCGTTTTTTTGTTGTTATTACTGATTTAAGTCCTATTTCTGGAGCAAATGTGTTGGCAAGACCTAGTTGCTTCAGGAAAACAAAGAATTCTCACATCATCTGACTGCAGTAAATTACAGGTTTAACTGCAGAAGTACTAAATTCTATGGTTCATAATTTCCTGGCTTCAATGTGACATGTAAACTGTCTAGTTTACAAATTTTAAAGTTGTTTTACTCTAGATTCACTACTTGCTTGTGAAAAAATTACTGCGTTGGTTTGTATCATATTTTCAAAGCTTAAAAAAAAAGGCCTGGAAATATAATCAAATAGTAAAAAGGTTAGGTTATGAAATAATGGAACTTTCTACTTTACATTCTGTCATGCAGGATACAGGAATTACCTGGTGGAAATTCTAGTTCTGTGGTGTTGATCCATGTGAGCCAACAATGCTGATCCATGTGAGCCGTGACAGTGAATAAGACAGACTGTCAGACTGATTCTTGATGACATGCAAACAATTTGTTCTGCTAAAACTTATTTATAAAGGTGCTAAGTGAATGAACACAACTGCTGTAAGCCCCACCTTAAAGGGAGAGGCCGATGGACAATCACTTCTTTCTGTGTTAGCAGGAAGATGTTTGCAAACAGGGAAAGAGCTGAATACTGTCAGAAGTAAGATATATTCTGCACAAAGTAGCTTTGCTCAGTGGACTGGGTTTGTTCTGATGGTATAATAAATCCATCTTTCAAATGTACTGCTAAACCTCTGCAGCCACAGAAAGCAGAGGGCTAATCCGATGCAAACAGTCTCCAAAATGACACTATCCCTATAAAAAAAAAATGAAACAAGCAACAGAAAACACCACCAACTAACAAGCAAGGAAATAGATTTGAACTGGAAATTATTTCATCCCAGATCTGCAGAATACACTTTATGCTAACTACAAGTGATATAGTGAATATCAGATCTAGCATAAGGCTGGAACAGATGAAATGTGTACTTCTGAATGTTCTTACATGGCACAGTAGTGATATTGTTGCTCAGAATCGGTGTCAGAATATGAAACAAGAGTACCACAGTCCAAATAAATAAATAAATAAAGGAAAAAGAAAAGGTGGCTTCCTTGAAGGACAAAGCAAGAAGTGAAAATATGGCTGTGAATGAGGACTGAACCCAGCTCTCACTTTGTGCCATTAAGAGTCTCAAAAGCTGGACACTTGCTTGTATTTTGAGTAAAGAGAGGTTAGAGGTGGACTAGAAGAATTTACAGTGTTATCCTGGCCTGGCAAATCCTTATCAAACTCCATTGCTCATCATAGACTGAAGCTTATGGAAGGTGGACTCTGCACCCCGGGCACCTTGCAAGATTCACCCAAACTGAAAAACACTTCAGATGAAAACAGATGTGGAGTAGAAGTTGCAGTTTGCAAATAATCTCACCCCACTGTGAGTGGCTCTGTAAACACAAGCCCAGACAAATTCTAGATTTTGCAGCAATATGCAAGAATTGCAATAAATTGCATCACTTTCATAAAAGTTTGCCAGCACTTATTGCCCATGCAGTAAGATGGCTGCAGTGGCAGCAGTGCAGAATAATTTTGAGATGAGACAGAAGATGTTATATCAGAACTCAACCCTTTTGTCAGGCAGTGTGCATTTGGTGAAGGAAAAATTACTATTTGGATATAAAGTTACAGCTTACAATAAAACAAAAATATGAGCTAAAAGGGGGTGGATTTGCTGGTTTTGCTTTTTTCATGTTTGTTTTTTCTGTGTGTCTTTGTTTATTTGGGGTGTGTTTGTTTTCTTGTTTGTTTGTTTTTTTTCTTTGTTTTTATGGATCTTACCTTTAGGAATGATTCTAGGTAATTCCTAGAAGAGGAGCTAGAAAGACTTATCACTGATTCTCTTAGGGAATATGCTTTAGTGGTGGTTAACACCATAAGACATGGTACTTCTTTTCTCATGGCTCCTTTTAATCACTGCTGGATTTTTTTTTTCCTCCACCCACTACAGTATAAGAATTATAATCAAAAGCTTTTTATGAAGTTAATGCTTTAAATCTTTTTGGAATGGTCTCTAGTTGCCTGTAAATGCATCAGAAAGTAGCTTTTTCTTCAGTGGCAGCACTACTCTGGCTGTGTTTCTGCTACCTGAACAGTTGCCTTTGTGGAAACCTGCATGAATTTACTGGTTCCAACATCTCTACTTCTCTGTAATTTTTTGTTTGCCACAACTCTTCTTCTTTGAAAAAAAAAAAAAAAAAAAAAAAAAAAAAAGTACCTGAAATTTAGCTTGAAAGATTAAGCACTGGTGGGCAACACACAAACTTAAGATAGCAATTGCACAGTTCTCTTATATTTGCTATTATTTTATCTCAGGTGCACGTTATGCTTCTGGTTGTCCTGAGCAGGTCAGAGGCTTGATGATCCTTGTGGGTCACATCCATTCCAGCTATTCTGTGATTCTATGATTATGCAGTAATTGTTTGCAAAAATATTTACCTGTAGTTACAAGAAGGGGAATTCCAGGGTTTGTTTAGGGCCTTTTTTGGAATGTAGAATTAAAAATAATATGTCAGCATATACCTTCTTTGGATGACAGCTTTCTGCGGACTGCAATCCAAACCGCATTTGGCATGAAGGCTTTTTAAATTAATTTTTTTATTATTATTTATTACATATTACATATTCTGGCCTATACACTTGAAGTTTTCAGCTTTATAAAGGAGTAGAAAGTGTGGCAAAACTGCAGGGCTACAACTCCAACAGATAAAAAGCAATAATGTAAGTGACCTGAAGATAAGAAAGTGCCTGCTGCCATGCCTCTCTTATCCTCTAAAAACAGGTAAGTTGCCCTGGAGACAGTGAAGGCAACTTAAGGAAAATTTTACCTAATGTGGCAACTCGATTTATTGGACTTTGCCTCATGTCATGGAGGATATTGCTCCTGGGCATAGATCCTTCCTAGGTAGCATTACATAGCACAGAGGCAAGGTGTGAGGCATGGGACATCTCAATAAAATACGATGGACACACACTCTGCACAAATACCCGAAATGAGGTTGAAGTCAGGCGGCGTTCAGCCTCTTCTGGGCGCTAGGGTCAGAACAAGTCCTGAGTCTTACGCGGCGCCAGGGGAGGTTCAAGCCGGACATTAGGGGAATTTCTTCACAGAAAGGGTGAGCAGGCATTGGAATGGACTGCCCGGGGACGTGGTGGAGTCACCGTCGCTGGAGGTGTGTAGGGAAAGTCTGGACATGGCAATTGACGCCATGGTGTAATTGACAAGGCGATGGTTCGGTCATAGGTTGAACTCGACGATGTCTGAGGTCTTTCCCAACCCAACTGATCCCGTGATGCGCACTCCCAACAGAGCGCAGGAGAAGCACCGTGAGAATATCCACCTCCCGGGCCCGCGCAGCCCGACCCCTCTGGGGCGTGTCCGCGGGGGTGGGAGGCTGTCCCCCGGCCACCCCGGGTGCTCCGGCCCCGCGCTGCTCCAGCGGCACGCAGCAGGTGCTCCTGTGCTCCCTCTCTCCCTCCCTCTGCCCGCCTAGCCCGGATTTCCCGGGGGCCGCGCGGGGCGGGCGGGGCAGCGCATGCGCCCGGCGGCCGCGCTGCCCGCGGGAGGGAGGCGGGGCCGGGGCCGGGGCGGCCGTGCGGGGAGAGGGCGGCGGCAGCGCCGAGCACAAACTCCGGAGGGGAAGCGGCACCGCCGGCCTCCGCCCCCCGCCCCCACACACACACCCTGTAGCGGGAAGGGGGAAGCAAGCAGCCCGCCCCCTCCCTCGCCGGTCCCGGCGGTGCACGGTCCTTCCCGGGACTCGGTGGCGGCGGGCGCTGTGCCCGGGGCGGAAGGCGAGCGGCGGGTAGCTGGGGCCTGAAGCCGCCGCTGGAGGAGGGGAAGAGCGGGGTGTTCCCGCAGCGCGGGTGGATGCGCAGCCTGAAGGGCGGCTCCTGCGGCGCCTCCTGCGGCCTCGCCATGGCCGGGCCCCGACGGTGAAGGCAGCGGGAGCCGCCTGTGTCCGCGCCGCGCCAGGAGGCGGCGCCGCCGCAAGCAGGGGGCGGGCGGGGAGGGGGATGAGCAGCGCCGCAGCCGCCGCCGCCTCTGCGGGAGCCGCCGCCGCCTGCACCGGGGCCGAACGCGGCTACTCCTTCTCCTCCGGCGGCGCCGCTCCGGCCATGGGGCCCGAGGAGGGCTCGGCCGGCGGGCTGGGAGCCCTGCCCGCGCCGCCGCTGGGCTGCCGTAGCCGCTACCAGCTGCTGCTCTCCGGGAAGGCCCTGGCCGACAGATACCGGAGGATTTACACGGCGGCGCTGAGCGACCGTGAGCTGGGGAGCCACCCGGGCAGGTAACGCGCGCCGCGCTCCCTCCCGGGCCAGACGCGCAGCCCCCGCCACCCCTCCCATCGCCGGCTGGGAGCGGCCCGGCGCGTGCACCTTCCTCCCTCCCGGCAGCCGCCCTCCTCATCCTCCTCCCCGCCCCCGGGCCGGGCAGCGCGGGTGTCCCCGCTGCCATGTGGCCGCACCGCCGCGCCCCGGGGGACGGACGGAGGGAAGGGGCGGTGATGTAACCCGGTGGCTGCCCAGGTGCCGCCCGGGCCCCGCCGCTCGCTTGGCGGGCGATATCGCGCAGATGGCGCTGCCGCCCCCTCTCCCGGGGCCCTCCGGGGCAGAGTTACCTGTGCCCGCCCCAGTGTGCGGCCCGGATCCCCCGGGGGGATGGAGAATGCCAGTGCTGGGCCCCCGGGCAGACCTCGCTCCGGCCAGGCTTGCCGGAACGGGCTGAATGCGGTGGTCTCTCCGGAGACAGGCTGCGCAGGGCACCCGTGGCTCCCGCTGGCTGTGTTACCCGAGCGAGAGACCGTGGCGCTTTTTCCATGTGCTGAGGCTGCCTTTAGCTACCCTGCCTTATTTTTCCTTCTCCTCTTTAGGTCATGTTTCCCCTTTGCCATCGCCATATAGGCGGCCTCGGTGTCTGGAGGGAGGCAGCGCCTTGCGGGGTTCTGGGGTGCGGTGTGGCCCCACCTGGTTCCCGAGCACCCCTCCCCCGGCGGATGGTGCCCCTTAGGGCTCCCGTTCCCGGTCCTGCCGGCCGGCTCTGGGGCCGCAGCAGGGTGCCTGTTGCTCCTCCGGCCGGGAATGCCGCCCTGCCCTGCTCCCGGGCGGGGAGGGGGCTGCGGGCTGTAGCGGCGCGGAGCCGCGGGGAGGCCGCCCGTACCCCGCAGCCCCCGGGCCGGCCCGGGCGGATCCTCCCGGCCCTGCAGGCCGTGGCGGGGTGCCCGGTCTCGCTGTGTGAAGGGCTCCCCCGTGGTGCCCGGGCGCTCCCCATTGTTCCCCTCCGGAGGTCGCTGAGGATGTGGATGACATGAAACCGGCACCTTCCTGTGTTCTCAGCCTGTGCTGCTCTTAGGCTGTGATGTGGGTGGCCGGGTCGTATGGAGAGCTTTGAGTCACCGTTGTTTCAAGTTTGCAAAGGCTTGTAAAGCACGAGGAGGTTGCCTGCTTGGCTTCTTCAGGTTTTTGTTAGTCGGACTTGACAGCAGGGCTCACCCCCCACCCCCCTCGCCCCAGAAAGCTCTGTCTAGAAGTGGAATTAACTTAAGACACGTACTTTTCCTAGTTTGCTTATGGTAAATGCTGGAAACGTGGAATGATAACATGGGTGCATGACATCTTTGCAGCTACTGACTGCTTTTCAGAGTGTATGATAGGGAAACCATAGTTCTTCTTTCCCCCCTGAAGACCAGCAAGTGTTTTCTTACTCCACATATTCCTTATTTCATTGCTTATACCTTTTCCATTAAATCTCTTCCTGCTTTTGATCTTCGTATTATTTAATCCCGGGACTGCAAGTGCTGAGTGTAAGGATACTACTAAATGCAAGGAAATCAGCTGTGCAATTGCTCCTCAGTGCTCAAATACCTGTCTGAATTTTGCCCACAGGGGTCTGTATTTTTTTAAAGCTGTAGTTTTGCATTAGTCGTGTCCTCCATGTCTTTTGGTTTCAGGATGATTCAACTGCTGTCCCTTATACTTAAAATTGTAGAAAATACTAGCTTTAGGTGTGTGTAAATGTTAATGCTTCTTTTAATTTATGTTTTTGAATTCAAGTCAAAGAAGACAGACTCCTTGTACAGAGCAAACAGGTTATATCGGGCTTTGGCAAGTAAATGACAGGCAGTTAATACTGGTGAATACTGCCAATGTGTATTGGACTTTTGAGAGGAGGATTATTTTATAAATACCTCGTTTCCTGCTATCACTACCCCCACTATCTTATGTGACAGACTGATGGCAGCCAAGATACCGCTTGTGGTCTCCACCTTTTCCCCATATTGCTGTCAAAACACTGCAGAATACTTCAGCCACCTGGTAGACTTAAACAGAAATGGTCAAAAATATGCCTTTTTACAAAACTAATACAAATCCCAAATATTTTCTAAAGAGAGCTTTAAATTTAACTGTAGCTGCATCTAGTTGCTATGGTAGAGAACAGTGCTAGATAAATTAAATGGACTTAAGATAATATAGGTTGTGACAGAAGTCCTAACTTGATTTTTATATATATGGAAAATTTAAAGCCTCTTAACCAGTAAGAGTGTTTGTGACTAGAAAAATAACTTGAAGTAGCTGAAAAAAAGTGAAACAAATTGGCTTATCGATAGTAATAAAATTCTTCATGTGTTCCAAGAAGACTAATGTGAAAAATGATAGTGCAACCTATTTGCAATAAGTTGATGTGGAATTTTTGCTTCAAGTCTGCAAAATTATACTCTGCACTTCATGGGCCGTGACCGATGCCTGTCTCAGTAAGTGCTTCTGTTCCAAACCTAACCGTAATGTTTATGAAGAACTGGCACGCAGTATGAAAATGCTTTTGTGTAGACAAGGAAATCAAACATTGTGGAGATTATCTGAAAGTCACAAGATTAGTATCACATTTGCAAGGTGTTTGTGCTGGCTGTCATCGGAAGGGATGAATATCACGTGTTGAGTAGGATGCAGTAATTGGCTTTGAAACAGAACCGGCAGTGCTTTGCATTTCCTCATGTGATACGGGCTGCAGTGTCATGGACACTGGTCTCCACAGGAGATGGGCTGGTTGGTGTGTTTGCTCCCCCTGCCACGCTGACATAATACTTCTGTAGTGTCTTGCAGTAACAGATTAGAGACTCACTCTGGGTTAAAATTAACTTGGCAAAACTGGTTTGTTGTAATCCAGACTAATTCCCTGATCTGGCTCACCTTGTGATTGCACTTGTGACACGTGAGGTGAAGGGTTGCACAAAGATTTTTGTGTACAGAGACGTGGGAGCAAAGAAACTTATTTTTGTCACTCATGTCAGCCTAATAATTTTATGAAAGGAAACAGAAAAAAGTATCTAATTCTGTGATTGTACAGATAACAATGTTAAGGATCTGCTGCAGTACTACCAGAAGTGGACAGTTTAGTTGTCAATTCAAGAAGAATCTGCTCTGAGCATGCCTGAGTTTATAGTCTCTCTGCTTTGTGGCCACTGAAGTATTTGAAAATAACTACATAATGTCTAGTGTAACCACTGAAGTGTGTAAAACACTAGTAGGTTGTACTGGCCTCTTCAGAGGGCAACTAAAAATCCATGTTAAATTAAACTGTTGTTTTGTATGCTGGGTTTTAGATGGACAAAACTGCAAGTGGGCACTGGTGTTAGTGCTGTACCAAAGCTCTGTATTTGCTTTAGTAAGGTATTTCTGATTTTCACATTTTTGCTGTCTTCAAATGCACTTTTTCTGTAGTACAACTTAATCCTAACAAACATCCCTATACATCTGAAATGTTGCTTTTATTGCTTGTGCATCTTGGGGGGGTTTCCCTGAGTTGCCAGTCCCTTTACTGTCCTTTCGCCTATTTATGTACTACCAGAATTATCAGTTGGGCTCAGCATGTTCTTTGAGACTTCTTGTCAAATATGGATAGCTGTATAAATTCATAATGGCTTTAGTGTGACCTGTTTTGTAGTGGAAGTGTTCACTACATAATTTGGACTAACTTCAAATTGTTATATTACAATGGCAGTGTACTCTGAAATGACAGTGAGTTAATACTCATGCCAGAATGACCATTACTTTGTTGCTAAAGTTGCCTCTCAACTTAGATCCTTCAAAGAAAGAAAGCTTCTGTTTGTGTTGTGAACTTTAGTGTTGTGGTCTCACTGAGGCCAGGAACATTTCAGTAATGATGGGAATGTAAGATTTCTTATATTAACTAGAAATCAGATGGCTGTTTTACTAGCTATTTTGGCTGAAGAAGAGGCAGCCAACTTTATTTCATGTTGATTGTTTCAGCTAGATGATTATAGCACATTTTGAAAGTAGGTTACTCATTTACACTTGTAATTGTAAATTATATATCCTCTGGACATCAGGTTAGTCTTTAGGCTTTTAGAAATTTACAGTCTTCCCTTATACCCTTACTTACACTCAGTAAAGCAGTGCTTATTTGTGATGTTTCAAGTATATATACTTGAAAATTTAGTGCAGAAATATTACTGAAGCTTTAGCTTTGCCTTGCGAGGATTTAACGATATTATGAAAACTATTTTTAAGTAAATTTTGGTGTATGAGATTTGTGTGAATTTGATTGTTGGTACACAAGAAAGTCTTAATTTCTTCATATCTAAAGCCTTTACAAAAGCTGTTAGTTTTTTTGGTTTGTAACTTGTTGCTCTTTTAATATGGAATAATAATTGCAAAAAGGTAGGAAGCATTTATTTAGTTTAAAAAATAAAGGTTATGTGTACAAAGACTAGTAAAATGATAGTGGTGTTACATTACCTACTACATTTTCCTGCTTATTCCTGTGCAAAGGTTTTCTCCATAGGTCCTTTCCAACTGAAATATTCTAGTCTAGTTTGTCATCTGTTTTTCAGTTCTTGTGTTTTGTAGATGTAATTTTACAAAACCAAGTTCAAGTCTTGTGTAAACTAAAACTGTTTAATTGGGAAATTGTTGTGCTGAGTCTTAGATTAAGCAGTGCATTAGAAGAGCTGATGAGAGTTGCTGTCTGCTCTAGGCTTTTTAGCTGCAGTGTAGTAATGTTTTAATACTATATTGCCCTGCTGGTTAATGGGGATTAGCAAATTACTAAAATAATAAAATACACTAAGTGAATTTTTACTTATTTACCTTATATTCTGTTAAGGAAAACAGTTTTATATAGTAGTTTTTTTAAAAACCTCTACTTGTCTCTTAGTCTAACATGGTTGTATTTGTTCAGTGTTGGTGTAGGAAACATAACAGAAGCTGGAAAGATCCCAAAAATATTACATTGAGAGGCTTAAGATGGGAATTTTATTTGTGTATATTTGTA